CCGCCTCCTCCAGGCTTTTCGGGGAGCCGAGGTGGGCGGGAAGGCGCTGGAGGAGAAACCGGCCAGCCCAAGCCCCTCGGTCTGCCTCGGGGCCAAGGAGGGGGGCAGGATCAACAGCCCGGGCAGCCGTTGCTGGGGGGTGCGGTAGGAGGCGACCAAGCGGAGAGGAGCAGCCAACAGAGCGGAAACCAAGCCACGCTTCCCCCGCCCAAGACGAGCTGCGCGTCGGCTCCCGCTCGCCTTGCCCGGCTTTCGCCTTTCCTACCCACCTGAAGACACCCTCTTCCTTGAACTCCTTGCAGGGGGAAATCAAGCCGTTCTTTTTGTTGAAAAGCTTCTGCAACAAGGTGGGTGTGGGAGGCATTTTGGGAATGCGACGCTCCGTCCCGGCAGGGAACAGCCTGTGCAGCGATCGCCCTTCGCAGCTGGGCAGCCAGCTAGTTCCTCGAACCCGACTCCATTCGGTGTGACAGTCATATGACAAAAAAAAATCCTTTGCACCAGCCGCGGCTGAAGAGAGCGGGAGGGCGCGGGGTGGGCGGGGCTCCGCACGGGCTCCCCGCCCTCCGATTGGCTGCGGAGCCCAGCCCACGTGGGGCAAAACCGTATGTCTGCTTGGCTCGGCGGAGCGGCAGCCCTGGGATGTTTTGGTGGTAGAGAAACCGGGGGAGGGGAGCGGGGACGCTTAATTCGGATTCCGCCGCCAATTTTAGCCCCGATTGGCTTAAGTTCATCCCGTTAAGCCCAAGGGAATTTTGCTTAACCGGGGCAAACTGAGCATCCGTGAGGAAGGAGCCACCGTTCCGCAAATCTAACAGCGATCTAGATCTCAAGAAGGCACGGAAGGCAAAAATGCTCCATGAACATAAATAATATCATTTTGAATCTATTCCTGCTAACTCCCTCCCACCCCTTTTTCTTTCTTTTTTTTGCTCTGCTTCAATTCTGTTGAGTTAGGAGATGTCTCTATTTATTTTGTTCTAAAACAATTTAAAAAGTCACAGGTCAAAAGTGACAAGAAGAAAAAGCATTTATGTTAACAAACGACTGAGACAGTTACATAGTGATTGTGCCAAGGTATTAATTGTAGATGTTATGAAAGTCATTTCCCCAAATCCTCTAGGTTACAAATTGCCAGGAAAAAAAAGCCAAGACGGGCAAAACCACCAGCAGTGTTCAACAAACCAGAGTTAAAATCCTAGCTTAACATTTATAGGCAATTGGAAAAACGTTCTCCCGAGTTACAGCCCATAAAAGTTAATTATATACTTTTACCTGCCTTTACTTCATATACCTTTACATATTTTTATTTATTTAGGTTTTCCCATTTGCTCTTCTTCCAGGAGGAACAGTCTCACTTCCTGGTTTTGAAACAAGGAGGGTATTTTGTCATTGTTGCTCCAAGTCTAAGAGGCCCGATGTTGACCTGGGAAGGGTGGCTTTAGTGGAGCTCAAAACATTTTGCCTAGACTTTAAGCCTATACACATCTTCTCCCCCAGCTACTCCTTGCAGGGCCCCAACTGCTAGCCATCCTTACCTTGAGGACCAAAGCCTACTGGATAGGTGATGAAAAAGACTGGAAGATTTCAGTACTGGTTGGCATGTAAGGTTGGTTTCATGATTTGGATGTTTTTCCAAGCATGTTATGTGAAAATTAGCATAAGTGGGAACAATGCTGTGTTCAATTGTCAGACTGAAAGAAAAGATGGAAGGTGACACAAATGCTTTGCAAGGAATCTTAAATGCAGTTTCAGGGAATCAAAAAGCCAAACGCTTTCATCCAATACTTTCACCCATACTTTGTGTATGTGCATGTGTCTTTGAGTCAGTATTGACTCAACCGCCTGGACAAGTCCCTGCAGTTTTCCTGGCAATATTTCAGAACTGGTTTGCCCTTGCCTCCTTCCCAGGGTTGAGAAAGAGTGACTGGCTCAAGGACACCCAGCTGGCTTCGTGCCTAAGGCGGGACTAGAACTCCCCGTCTCCAGCCTGGTGCCTTAACCACTGCACCACACTGGCACCCCCATATTTTGAGAGCCAAGGAAATGGTCATTCTAGGCCCAATAAATAGCAGCATTCAAAACTATACCACTATTCACTGTGTGGAAGCATCAGCTGAATACCAGACCAAAAGGAGGCTGAAAAGAAAGAAGTGCCAGGAAGGAGAATAGCCTGAAAAGAGAAAGTCCAAAATCACTGCTGGCATTAGGAAGTCAATCTGCAGTGACTGAAGAAAGGTTCTGATGGGGGGAAAAAGCAGAACCTTTGACGGCGTGATTCTAAACAGAGCCCACGTTCCCGCACAGTTGCTCCTTTTGCTCTGCTCGGAGTCTGCAGAAATCTCATATCCACTTGCTTGGGAACAGGTTAAAATGTTGCTTGGGAAAAGAAATTTGCCGAAAAACCTCTACCAAGTTAGGGAGGAAAAATTGGCCTGTACCTTTTCTCTTTCAACCCCATGTATAATTTTGTGATAGTAACTAAGCAAGTGTACACAAATTTCAAGTTTTTCTGTATTATATTTTAGTTATTGAAAGTTTTATTTATTTAGATTTAGTTTTACCGAATCTTTAGTTAATTTTTATAGAATCTTTTAAACTCTGCTTAACTGAATCTTTTACATCTACTTATATACTAATTCAGGATTAAAAATGGGGCATTAAGGTTATGTACTGATTAGCAGTCAAGAGCAAACTTAAATTGTAATGAGACGAAACATACTAAATATCATAAACATTGATAGTTTTTCAGGTTACATTCCTTGCTTTTTTAAAAAAATAAAAATGGCTCGCAACTTCATTGTTTTGAAACAGAATGTAATGAAATTTGCAGTTATAATAGCAAGGGGAGAGGAATCACAAATTTCACACAAACAGAATTTGTGCAAAGGGACTTGAGTGCCCATAAGAAATGATGAGGTCAGTCAAAAGTATAACAGAAGAACTTCTATACACTGTTTCCTACACCTGCGAAACATGGTCCTGTGAATATCCAAATTAGATGACCCAGAGTAAAGATGTGACAGTAGTCATACCAGTCACTAAATCTAATGCTTTTTGTCTACCACCCAAGGCTTAAATAAACAGAACGTTATGTGTCAGCAACTGAAGCACCATTTTTTGCACTGCTGAAAACCTGAGAAATAATTTGGAATCCCAGCTACTCTAATTCTAATCAAGAATTAGAACCAAGTAGTTGAGACCTCTCTTCTCTGTTCCATGATGGGATATCTGGCCTTAGTGACATTTACATGCTATCAAGAAAAAAAACATTTTTTCCCCCAGTACGGGACAAAGCAGAGGATGTCCAATTTCAATTGTGTGGAATTTCTATAAAGCCTGGATTAGATTGGCCTCAACCCTACTGGCCTTTTGTGAGGTCCTGAAGACATGGCTTTGCCACCAGGCTTGGAGATCCAACTGTGTAATAGAGTTTCTTCAATGGCTATATTGAATGTGGTTAAAGTTTTTGTAACCTGGTTGCTGATTATGTTTTATGATTTTTAATATGATTTTTAACATGGTCTTATGTGTTTTCTATTTGTTTTTATATTGTATTTACTGTTTCTTGATTGTTGTTTCTTGTTGTGAGCTACCCAGTCATATATATGAGATGGGTGGCTACAAAATTCAGGCAATAAATAAATGATAGTATAGGAGGGACAATTAAGACATGCAAAGAAGAGGGATTGCCTCTATGTCTGTTTCAACCAAAATTATTTCTCTTCAGAGGCTTCTGTGCGTTTCTGCTATTTGATAATCCCTAGACCAGTGTTTCTCAACCTTGGCAACTTTAAGATGCCATGGGTGGCTGGGGAATTTTGGGAGTTGAAGTCCACATATCTTAAAATTGCCAAGGTTGAGAAACACTAGACTAACAATACATGAGATTACGCAAGAGCCTATAAGACTGTGCCTGCTCTGCTTTGTAACATCTGCTTTAAATGGTTATCCCTGTCTGCAGGATGCAGTGGAATAATCCACCACTAACCTATAGTTTGGTCCTTAGTGAACCCAAGTTACCTGGAAAATAAAACTGAAGTACAGATTGAGAAATAGAATATCAACTCATGCATGAAAACAACTGGGCACAACTGTTCTCCAACTCCAGGGCCCATGGCATTCACACAGTACATTACATACTCTCTCAACATTAGGCGAGTCACAGCTAAATAGGTGAAATGGTCATATCACCATGTCTTGTGTGGTGAGCAATATGCAAATTCCAGCAAATGTCTAAAATCCAAGATTCAGTCATGCCTCTAAGTTACTCCTTGGTATGCAAGCATCAAATGGTGACTAGGCAAACATGAATCAGTCCTATGTTCAGTAACATGTTCCTCTAGAAATAAATGGTATTGTTTCCATTTAATTTTTCAACCAAGTCAAACTGAAGGACTACTTTTTATTATTCTACAGTAAGGGCTTTTGATAGGAATACATTCTCTCATTAGCAGGTTTGTGTCATGTAAGATGAAAATCTGGACTAGCACCATGAAGGACTACATCACACAGATTATTCCTGACTGGAATCAGAAGCTTGCTGGCTATGTTGCTGTGCTTATGTCAACACCACTGAAGGCATCCATTAGAGGTGAATCTTCATTGTAAGTGACCTTGGCCACATTAGATGTTTTGGAAAATAACATCAAGGAAAATCAGAGTGAGTATTAAGCTTCTCTTTCCACTGGTATAACCATCTGACAAAAGCAATGAGAGCCAGCAAAGATTTACTTTGTCTTGATTACTTTTTCATGGAATAGTATCAGCAAATTCATTCTCAAAAAAGGTTGTACAAAACCAAATTCAGGCATAACAAGGAACTCTGGTTAGTTTACAAAAGGCAGCAGCTGCTTCTGATCTCCTCATAACAACTTGAAGCTCCTTGCAGCCACCACCCTTAATTTTTTATAAATATGTTAGATACTTACAAATCAAAAAGTACATTAAACATTGTGACGCTGACAAAACTTTAGAGGACAGCTTTTAATGTACAAGGAAGAGATTGAGTAAAGCAGAATACAGGCTAGATTTGCTCAGCATACTGAATCACCAAGAAGCAAAATACATTTTAGCTTACTACATTGTGCAAACTCAACCTGATATGTTTAATTTTATAATTCAGTGTGTTAAGTTAGTCCAGAAAATTGGGTTAAGTAAACCATGGTAAACATGCCAGGAGAACACTGCCATGGAAGCTTCTTTATCAAAAGTAATAAACAAAAGAGTCCCTCTTTAGAGTCTAGCAGTAAAGATTAACATTCTGCCTTGAGGGAAATAAATTACTCCGCTAAAAAGAACTGCTCTAACAAAAATAATTTATTTTTTTACATATTCATAGGACAAACGTATTAGATCTTCACATTTTAAATTATATTCAATATAGTTGAAATGAAAAGTAGAAGCAATTATCCTGAATTGGCTTAAATCCAAATACTTCAGTTTAGCTGAGTTTGGGCGATCAGGCTAATAACTCTGGCTGAGATGTATCAAGGATTACTATGTGTGTATATATATATATAATATACAAAGATAAGTTAAATAAACCTGTACTTTTATAGTTTTATAATCTGTGAACAATATTTTTATCTACATGCATCCAGAAGTATATTTTCCCGCATAACTTTCTTTAAAACTATCATCAGGTTTCAAATTTACAAAATCCAGATATTTACTTCAATCATGCTCTGCCTTCCATTTTCTCAATTTCCTGTTTTTCCTTTTTTTTCTCTTTAACAACTCAACTAAATAAATGTTTTATATTGTCCTTAAGAACACTGTCAGTAATAAACCAAAGTAATTGTCATCAGAGAAATAATAAGTTTTCATATGCAAATCCAACAATCTCTTTCCTAGGTAACTGTTTTATATATTCTTCAATAAATATGCGATTCATAAGCATATAGAAAGTGTTATAGATAAATACTGGAAATCAGACATAACTACTCAAATATGTAAGACATGAAGACAGTATTAATATAATTCATTCCAACTGAATTTAATGCCCATGAATTATACCTACTGCTTATACTAGATACTGCAGGGGGATCCAGAAGGTACTCCACTTACTTTCTTCCTGTTTTGGTGAGAGTACAGCTAAAATGTACATCTATTATTACTACGAATCCGGTTTTCTGAGCTTGTAATAATATCTGAAATATAAATAATTTTGCATTGGAATGAACTCTCTGTTTCACCTTTTGGAGAAAATACATCAGTACTGCAGTTATTGAACTGGGGAGCAACGTTACAACTATAGAAGAGTCAGAACTGTCAGTGGAAATAGGTCTAAAAACATGACCAAAATGCAATGCCTTGTATAATAAGAAGCATAAAGCGGGGGGGGGGGGGTTTTTACCAATTTATTTTTTGAAAAAAACAAAAATACAAAACATACATCTAAT